GGCAGGGGAACAGTTAGGGGGGATCAGGCAGGCCGGGGAACAGTTAGGGGTGATCAGGCAGGCAGGCAGGCGAGCAGTTGGGAGCCAGCAGTCCCGGATTGTGAGAGGGATGACCGACTGCCGGTTTAGGCCCGATCCCACAGGGTCCCAGATTGGAGAGGGTGCAGGCTGGGCTGAGGGACACCCCCCTTCACCCCCCCCAGTGCACGAATTTTGTGCACCTGGCATCTAGTAGTATATATTTGGCTCTGCTGCTATGAGCAGATATTTAAATGTATTAAAAGACACTTTTAGTTAAGACGGATTTTGGATGGTGTTCAGTGGGATAACTTCTGTAATAGCATTTTTTAAGAAAAGCTTCCCACAGTGTGCAGACGTAAACATGGGCTGTTCTCTGATCTGCAAACAGCTCTATTTGGTCAGACTGGCAAGTTAACTATGGGAATTTTGTTGTGCCCCTGCCATTGATAAGGTAAATGATACATCCTGAAATCATTGTAGGCCCAGAAAGGACAAATTACCCCACCTGGGAGTCAACATTTTTATAATTTAATAACAGGTGCTGGTTCATAGTCTGCACTGAATAAACATGTTGTATGAGTGCATAATTACAGGTTTTTTTTAAAACAAAAAGCGAAGTAGTAAATGCCTCAATAACAATTTATATAGATTAAATCTTTTTTTATACTGTGTCTTCAAATCCCAAGTACTTTTTTCTTTTTATTAAGGTATAGTTTATGTACTGTAAAATTTATCCTTTTTAATGTGTATTTCTGCGAGTTTTGAATTGTGTGCATTGATATAACCACAACTACCGTCAGGATGTAGAAACAGTCTTAACACCTTCTGATTTCCTCCATGCCCTCGTGTAGTCAGTCCTTCACTTTCACTCCAAGCCTCTGACAACCAGGTGATCTGTTTTTTTGTTGTTTTTTTTTGTCTCTAAAGTATTGCCTTTGTAAGAATATCATGTAAATGGAAGCATATGGTATATAGCCTTTTGGGGTCTGGCTTTTTGACACATTGCATTTGATATTTATCCATGTTGTTGCATGTTTCATTATTTTGTTCCTTTTTATTACTGAATAGCGTTCTGTATGGATGCACACAATTTGTTTATCCCTTTCCTATTTGAGGGACATTTGGATTATTTCCTGTTTGGGGTGATGATGACTAAAACTGCCATAAACATTTACACACAGGTTTTTGTGTGAGCTTAGGTTTTCACTTCATTTTATTTCTTTTGTGGATTGTGCTTTTGGTGTCATATTTACAAACTCTTTACCTTGCATATAATCATAAAGATTTTGTCCTGTTTTCTTCTAGAGGTCATTTTAGGTTTTACAGTTAGGATTATGGTCACTAACTGTGGTTTTGTTTTGGTTTTCAACCCAAAGCAAAGTAAATGCCTTATTAATGGTATGCATGGTCTCTTTCATTTAGTGTCTCTGAGTCATGGAGGACTTATCACATGTGGGACTTTAGACTGGATCTAACTATATAAACTTTATAATGGTGTGAATTATCAGATGTGTTTAACTTGATCCTAGTCTTGTTTTAGTTTGTTCCATATTAACTACTAAAATGCCAATAATGTATTTGTATCTGGTGATTCCAATGACAGAATGTACCCTGTTAAATAATAGTTGTTTTTTTATTTTTTATCATGGTTACAGTGAGTTGACAGTGGATTATGTTTAAGCTTTCATACTCAAGATTTTTATACAATAGAATTGATTCTTAGGTTTCAATACTGTCATATGTAAAAAGTGGCATAGCAAATCTTTTTTTAAATTATTATTAATACGGTATTTATTTGTGTTCCCTCTGTCAAACCCTGAGCCAGCCACTTTCCCCAGGCTGCCCGGGTGGTCTAGGAAAAGGAACATACAGGGCAGACCAGACACGGGAGAAAGAACTGTGGGAGGTGGAGACAGACCCTTCCCATGGCGAAGAGGATGAGAAAGGCCCATCAGGCAAAGAGCCCGTGGCCTCTGAGCGGGCACAGCCCAGAGCGCAGGAGAAGCGCTGCTGTTTCCTGGCAGAACCCGTGATGAGGCTCCCTAACCCAGCCCCAGCCCCAGCCCCACAGCCTGCCACCCTCCTGTGGCAGCCCGGCCCCAATGAGCCTCGCTGCTCTCTCAGTGTCTCTTGAAATGGTGCTGGTTTAGAAGCTGCGGGTAGAAATAAGTGAGGGCCGGGGCACGGGGCTGCCAAGCCGCCGAGGCTCTCACCTGCCAGTGTCCAGTTCGGCACCACTGCAGACAGTGACCAGCTCAGCAGCTGAGAGGCCCTCCCGACCAAGGAGGGGGTGGAGACCACTTGGTACAGGTGTACGTTTTCCGGGGATGAGAGGGATGGCAGCAGAGCTGCTCCCAGTGCAAAAAGACAAGTTGCAGCAGATCTTGAGTGCACTTATGATAGTCTTTATATGAGTCCATGAGTCCAGGTTTGATAAATTTATGGAGTTCCTGAAGACTGATTTTTATCATGTAAGACCATTTTACAATCACGGATAACATCAAAAAATGTGTCTTGTCTTTCTTTTCTCCTTTCACTTTCCCTTCTTTCCTCTCTTACCCTTTTTCATTTCCTTTCCCCTCCTTCTTTCTCTTCCCCTTATCCTCTCTCCTTCCCTCATCTTTTCTTCCCCTATACTTCACTCCTTCTCTTTCTTTTCTCCCTCCCCTTCCCTCTCTTCTTCTCCCTCCCCCCACCCCCAATTTTATTTTTAGAGAGAGTGAGGGGGAGAGTGAGAGAAACGTCGATTTGCTGTTCCACTTACTTATGCATTCCTTGGTTGGTTGCTTCTTGTATGTGCCCTGACTGGAGGTGAACCTGCAGCCTTGGTGTGTGAGGATGACACTGGAACCAACTGAGCTATTCAGCAGGGCCCTCTCTGCCTCTTGCCTGCTGGAGTGGTCTCTGGGTGCTCGAGTGCTTTGTCTGTCTGGACCAGTTGGCCCCCAGCTGAATGGTTTTGAGAGGGAGTGAAGACAAAATTTAGAAACTGGTTTGCATGAGGAAATTGGATGGTTAGGAAAGACTTTCTTCAGTTGGCATTAGTTATTGAAGTGCTCTCAGAGATCAAAATACAGTGAAATTGCTGAAACATAGGTTAACGGATATTATTAAAAATAACGTATATTTTGATTTGCTTTTAGTTTTTTCTCATAACTGTAATTTCTTAAACTGTAATTTTAAAACAACAATCTAGTTTTAGAGGTGGATGTCTTTGAATAAAGATGTGTTTGATCTAATTATGTCAATTGACCTTTTGCTAGAAATATTTTGTTTCCCTTTAATTGCTTTGCTACCTTACAGGTATTATTATTATTTTGGGATAAGTGTGTGTCAAACATTTTTTCTTTTGTTTTCCCAAATGGCATTCTTATCTTATTGAATTTTAATTTTCAGTATTTTTAGTGGTTTTTTTTGGGGGGGGGACTGAGCTGAGGAAGTGAGCCATAAATTTTAATTGTGATGATTTTGAAACCCTCTACAATTATTAATTTAATACAATTAAAATATTAATTAATAATCTATTTACATGTAGCTTTTCCAAGCCTAATCATGAATCTACTCTCCTGTTTTTTCACTTTAGTATGTCTGCTGAGCAGTAACTGTTACCTTGCATTGTTTGTCAGATAACTAATGAGCTAAACTCTCATTTTCCATCATATTATTAAGATTCAAGCATACCTGAAGTATTTCATTGCCTGAGATAATTTTCTTTTAATGGCGTATTTACGTTTTTTCCTTTTCCAGGTCATCCTGTTCAGTTCTATAGCATGAACAGACCTGCCTCTCGCCATACTCCCCCAACAGTAGGGGGTTCGTTGCCCTATCGACGCCCTCCTTCCATCACCTCACAAACAAGCCTTCAGACTCAGATGAATGGAGGACCTTTCTATAGCCAGAATCCAGGTTAGATTTTCTTTTGCAAATTATAGAACATACCTGGTTAAAAATCTTCAATCACAGAGAGAAAAAACCCTTATTTACAAACCATTAGCACATGCTAGGTGGTTAGTACTAGTTTTTTGAATAAATGGAGGAATGAATACAAGGTTACTAATACTGTATTTTCCATTTCCTTTTTTTTTTTAACTCAATAATGGTTTCCATGTAAAGTTGTAGAACTTAATTTTTTGAACAGAATCTTTTTGAATGTGCTAGTGATTATTTGCTTTTAAAAATAGTAGTGCGGTAAACAATATTTTCTTCCTATTTAACCAGATATCCATGCTCTATGAATAGCAGATAATGAAAATTGAGTGTACATGGACAGAGTTTATAAGTGGCGAAGTAAAAGGGACATTTTTGAAGCTGCTTTGTGCAAGAGAGTTGTACTGTCTTATTCAATTCTCCTACCAAACCTATGGGAAAACGGACTTGGACAGATTGATTCAGATAGAGCAATCACCTTTCAGTTGCATGCATACAGAAAACGTAATCTCACATGTATTTAATAGTATATGTCATAATTTTTGCTTCTTCTCCAGAGAGGGTAAGAGCACATCTTAGACTTTATGACTGTTGTGGACATGGTATGTCAGTCTACTATGTTTTTCTGGATTTTTGTCAAGAGGCCAGTCAGGCTCTAGCTGGTTTGGCTCAGTGGATAGAGTGTTGGCCTGCGGACTGAAGGGTCTCAGGTTCAATTCCGGTCAAGGGCATATGCCCGGGTTGCAGGCTTGATCCCCCAAGTAGGGGGTGTGCAGGAGGCAGCTGATCAGTGATTCTCTCTCATCATTGATGTTTCTCTCTCTCTCTCTCCCCCTCCCCCCCCCTCTCCCTTCCTCTATGAAATCAATAAAATATATATATATATACCAGTCAGTTCATTCCATATTTGATAAACCCCGAATTTAAAATTATAGCCTAAATTTTATGGAGTGGAAATCTGTCTCCTATGGCTACTACCTTTTGGTGAAACCTTGTTGCATTTGGAGTCATGTAGAAGAAATATGCTCCCCCTTCATAAATGCAGTTTAAGTAATACAGTGGGGCCTTGACTTACGAGTTTAATTCGTTCCGTGACGGAGCTCGTAACTCAAATTACTTGTATGTCAAATCAGAAGTGAACGAGTGAGACACGTGATGCTGGGCTGATGTTGTGGCGTTCACTGTGACGTTCGCTGCGCCAACTAGCGGTGGGGTATCTGAAGCTGGCTCGTAACCCGAATTTTAGCTTGCAACTCAAAGCAAAAAATCGGCCGAGAGATGGCTCATATCTCGAAAAACTCGTTAGTCGGGACACTCGTAAGTCAAAGCCCCACTGTACTTTTATACTTATCATTTGATTCTTATAATTATGTGATCATTTTCATCTGTATTTTCACAGGTGAGGAAACTAAGACTGAAGTGATGATCAGGTTAGGATTTGAATTTAGGTTATCTGATTCCATGTTCTTTCTGTTTTAACTATGCTACCTATCTTTAGATTAAAAAACAATCCTTTGCCTGGCCAGTGTTGCTCAGTGGTTGAGTGTTGACCTATGAACCAGGAGGTCATGGTTTGATTCCTGATCAAGCCAGATGCCTGGGTTGCAGGCTCAATCTTCAGGGTGGGGCATGCAGGAGGTAGCCAATCAACGATACTCTCTCATCATTGATGTTTCTGTGTCTCTCTCTCCTTTCCTCTCTGAAATCAGTAAAATAAAGACAAAACAAAAAATCCTTCTCTTACCCTCTCATTGTGTTCTCTTTTGTCTGGAGGAAGATGTCCACCGTGTAAAGTGCATCAGAGCCTGAGACCTTGCCATTCTTTTATACAGTTACTAGAGGCCCGATGCACAAAATTCATGCAAGAGTAGGCCTTCCTTCCCCCGGCTGCCGGCACCAGTTTCCCTATGGCACCCAGGACAGGGCTTCCCTCGCAGCCCCGGCTTTGTCCGGAAGGCCATTGGTCTACTTAGCATATTACGCTTTTATTATTATAGAATAGAGGCCCGATGCAAGAAATTTGTGCAAGGGGCTCAGACCTCGCAGCTGCGGTGGCTTGCCTTGGCCCTTGCAGCCCCAGCTTCGTCTGGAAGGTCGTCCAGAAGGTCGTCCAGAAGGACGTTAGGCTGTCCAGTCTAATTAGCATATTAAGCTTTTATTATTATAGATATCCTGGGATAGTGCTCAGTAACTACTTGTTAAATGTAGAATGAGTCCCTTGTTCTTTTATTCGAATCTCTTTACTGGTTTGGGTTTCTCTTGTAGATTAAATGCCAAATTTATAGACTAATTATAGTGTGCCCTGTAGTGTGATTACCAACTGCCTTACTTGAAATATATTTATCTTACTGCTATCTTTGATCACACTTACTGATTTTGGCTGCACCATTCTTTTTAACACATTTTGAGCTTAATTTTGACAAATCTGCCTGTCTTTTCATCCATTCTCTTAAGTCATAGTGTCCCAAACCCATATTTGAATAGGAGATATTTTGTGCCTAAATGCATTTTTATTTTTAACTTGTAGTTTGTTAGATGTGGGTTATTTCATAGTTCTGAAGGTAAGCTCTCTCCCTGGCCCTCTGTACTGGGGCCAAGATGCTTCCCTGTTACAGCTTGAGACCAACTGTGCACAATGCACAGAACGTATACTGTACGCAAGGGTATTCCGTGCTGTGCACATGGTAGGGGAAGTTATTTGAAGGCTGTTTAAGCACATTTATACATGTTTTAAATACTTACTTTAATACTTTTCTTTATAAGTCTAATTTTAACATACTTGAAAGAATATGTTAAAGTAGAAGAATACCTTACTCTATGGAATGATGTTAATGAAAGTATTTTTTATGCTCATGAAAGTACAGTGAATTGAGATTATGAGCCTTCAGCGTAATGTGTGAGACAATTTAGTTAGTTGGCTGTTTTGTTCCTGCCTCTGTGTTAATTTCTGCCTTTCTACTCCAGGATTCGGTAACTATTTACAGAGGGTAGCTACAGCTTTGCTAGCTGATTAATCAGTGCTTTTTCTAAATGAAAAACAAATTGTTTTTTCCTAAAACATGTTCTTTGAAAAACATTTTTTTGCAAGACTTAATATCTTGCAAACCAGTGTTTAAGGCTATTAGATGCTCCTTTATTTCATTTGCTTTAGCGTATCATTTAAGTCTCATGTATTATTCCACTGATCTTACAGTGGTCCTTGTTTTTTCATCTTTAAAATGAGAAAATTTGTTGTGCTTTTTCAAGTAGCGAACAACCTGATTTAACAAAATGATCCCAGATATGTGTTATATGAGCTTTTTTGTGTGCATTTGGAGGCTGGACATGAATGCAAGCTTCTGAAGAAGTGAGCTGACAGGCCGGGATTCATGTGAATATTCACTGGGGTTTTCTCTGAGATGTAACTCTAGCATCACTGTTACTACATTTGGCTTGCGTTTGGAAGGGCATTATAACATAGGAATTAAAATCCAGAACACCCAGTGTCTGGAGTCTAGTCTTAGGAGCACAGTAATTTCTTTTCTAATGAGATTATTTCAGAAACAAGTTGATGAAAGTAACTTTCAGGGCCTAACTGAAACCCTTTGGTTCTCATTGTTTCTTAATCTAATCCAGCCAAAGAAATAGCAGCACCAATTTATCATTCATCTTGTCAGCATTAAGTAGGGTCATTGGAACAAAATAGGACTAATCACAAGTTAACAGTTTTTACTTTACTTTAAATATAAATATGAAGCACCTTGGTGTTAAAAAGGAATAAATATGTGTACTTATTTGTACACATCTACACTAATAAAAGAGAAACATGGTAATTGGCGTACGACCGCTACCCTTTTCAGCGAACAACCTGATTTAACAAAATGATCCCAGATATGTGTTATATGAGCTTTTTTGTGTGCATTTGGAGGCTGGACATGAATGCAAGCTTCTGAAGAAGTGAGCTGACAGGCCGGGATTCATGTGAATATTCACTGGGGTTTTCTCTGAGATGTAACTCTAGCATCACTGTTACTACATTTGGCTTGCGTTTGGAAGGGCATTATAACATAGGAATTAAAATCCAGAACACCCAGTGTCTGGAGTCTAGTCTTAGGAGCACAGTAATTTCTTTTCTAATGAGATTATTTCAGAAACAAGTTGATGAAAGTAACTTTCAGGGCCTAACTGAAACCCTTTGGTTCTCATTGTTTCTTAATCTAATCCAGCCAAAGAAATAGCAGCACCAATTTATCATTCATCTTGTCAGCATTAAGTAGGGTCATTGGAACAAAATAGGACTAATCACAAGTTAACAGTTTTTACTTTACTTTAAATATAAATATGAAGCACCTTGGTGTTAAAAAGGAATAAATATGTGTACTTATTTGTACACATTTATTTATATAAACCTAGTTTGGTAAGTGTCTCAGGCGCTGTAACAGAGTCCAGAGACTAGGTGGCTTATAAACAAGAGAGACTGCCCACTGCCCTGGAAGCTGGGAGTCGGAGGTCAGGGCGCTAATGGTGGAGTTCTGTGAGAACCCCTCCGGCTGCAGACTGCGGTCTTCATGTTGTGTCCTGTAGCCTTTCTTTTATGAGTCCTAATTCCGTTCGTGAGGGCTGTACCCCTGACTTAATCATCTCCCAAAGGCCCCATTTCTAAATACCATCACATTAGGAATTAGGATTTCAATGGATGAATTTTGAGGGAACATAAACATTCAGTCCACTCTCTCTGAAAATCAATGGAAAAAAATATCCTAAGAAAAGAAAAGTGCTAAACAGCCTACTTACAAAAAGACTGTTGTGAGTTAAGCACCTAATCATTCATTTTTTGGAGTACCAGAAGGTCTTTTTTTGTTTGTTTTTCATTTGGAGGAGAGACAGTGACTGAAGTGGGAAATGTCCTGCTTTCCTGTTACAGGGAGGTTGGGACGGGTGCTGACAGAAGAGGAACTTTTCACCTTATTTGATATGGACATTTATGTAATTGCACTTTTCTAATGCCAGTTGCTGTCTGTTGCTGTTTCTCAGTTTTATCTGCTGTCTTGTCTGTTCATTGACTCTCCTTCTTACCCCCGTTTGGGAAGCAGGGCAATGTGAACATACCCACAATTGTTTCAGAGGGTAGGAGACAGCATGCAGCTTAAGGATTTATTACCAAGAAATACGACTTTAGGGAAAAACCTAACCAAAAGATATCTTTTGAAGAAAGGTATCGATTTCTAAGGTTCTACTACTCTGCCCCTTAAATCTAGATACGCTTCGTGATTATCTGCTTAACTCTTGTCTGCATAGTACATATGCTCTCCCTGCATTTACCCACAGCATGTCATCTCCTACTGAGCTCTCCTAGCTCTTTACCTCTCAGTTTTTCTCACATACTTAACCCCAGCTTTCCAGTTGCCTCCCAGGTCTATGCCCACATCACTTTCATGCATCCTAGTTATCACATCTCTCCCTGACCTGCTTCCTCACCAGCCCTTTCCCTGTACTACCTACCAAGGCTAATGTGGTTAAATGGCACCTCCACCTTCATAGTTAGGAAAACTAAAAAAATCTAAGAATCATCTTTAGCTGTTGATCTCCTTCATGCACTAGCCAATCCTTGCACGTATTCTTCCTCCACACTCTGTTACTAAGTTCTTTCCTTCCTATTTCTGCTGCCCGCCACGCCCCCCCTTTTTTTGGTGCCAGGCTTTCTGCATACATTTTTTGTTTTTGGAAATTTTATTTGCAACCACTCTGTAAAGTAGGTTGCATTATCTATCTTTTAAAATATCACATTTATGGAATAGGCACAAAGAAGCTAACTTGCTGTTCCAACATCAAGGAAATGGTGAATCAGGTTAATAGATGTTGGGTGACATTAAAGTCCAGTCTCTTTCCACTGAGAAGTCTTTCACCTAACATACAAGGTCTCTCACTTGAACATCCACCCGTTCTCTTTCTGTGCTTTCTGCTTCTCTCTGGGGTATCTTATGCTAGCCGTGCGGAATACCTCCGGGCCTGCGAGCTGCTCACCTCTAAGCCTCTGTCTTCACTTGGTTCTCAGCTTGTCTTTCTCAGCTCGTGTCTGCTTGTCAGTCCAGCTCCATTTCCTCAAGTCACATCTAGTCTTCCTCCCTGCTACCCCTCCACTAACACTACCATGTCTCACCAACCATCACCACCTGCAGGAAATTGCTACAAGTAATTGTTGGGTTAACATTGCTATTTTGTTTATATGCCCAGTTAGAATGTAATCTCTTTGAGGGTGGTGACTATTCATTTTTTAAGTTTTATTAGTCTTAACTGTAGTTTGGAGTTATTAAAGATATTCTCTCTTTATAAGAAGATGCTTGCCATACTTTATACCCATTCTGAAGGAAACTATAACTGTAGAGTTAATCCTGGGAAATTGTTGGGCACATACCTGGCTTATCTGTGTGTTTACATATGTCAGACATTTGTTGCAGGCTTACTAGGGCTAGACACTGTACCAGGTGTTTGAGATAAGGGAAAGGCACCGAGAGGAGAGGAGAATGACTGGAATGAGGCCAACACTTTTCTGCAGGGGCAGGAGAAAAATGTACCTGCTTGAGCAGGTGGTATGAATTGGGACTATGAAGAATTTTAATGACACAGATCTGACTCTCCGAGAATGGTTTTGGTATTGGTCTCTTAGTAGAGTGCTTGCCACTTAGTAGGAAGTCAGTAAATATTCATTTAATTAATGAGTAAAGAACTAATTTATTTGCCTGTTAATGTAATGAAGTATAACTTTAGAATGTTGGTATGTAATGGGTTTTTCCCTTCTACTGACAAATAGTTAAATTTGTAACTATCAAGGTAATTTCCAGAAACCCAAATTATTCATTGTAGTCTGAAGAAATCCTTTTCTTTGAGAAGGCCTGTTATTGATATGAAAAGCTCAGTTTGCCATTATATGTTAGAGTAGGCCTGTATGGATGAATGACTGCTTCCTGTTGTAATTTTTAAAAACTTCCTTAAAACTCTCCTAATACTTTGTTTTGTGTGTTGATGAATTATCCCTCAAAAGAGGATCCTTAATATATCTTATAACATGTTCGTGCATAGTGGTTTCCCTCCTTATATGTTCGTTTTATTGTATTATCCTTTTCTTTTAATGTAACTCGCCCTTACCCCTTATCCTCCACACCTTTTTTGTTTTTACAGTATCTCTTGCTCCTCCTCCTCCCTCCATCCTACAGGTAACTCCTCAGTTACCTTTAATGGGATTTGTGGCCAGAGTCCAAGAAAATAGTAAGTTTATGTCTTCTTTATGCTGTAGATCAGATTGTAGGCATAAAATGTCATTTATATGTGATTGGCTAAGTATTCATTTGCTGATACCTCAAGTATTTGAATATTATGAATAAGTCACTATATGAGCAGCTAGTAGGGATGATAAAAAAATTAAGATGAAATTCTCTACTTTCCAATAACTTAAAATCTGGTAGTGAAAAAAAATTTAAATAAGGCACATGTAAGAAAAGAAAGATCACATCTGAGATGTTCTTTAATCACTAGCTAGCCCATTTTTTTTCCCTCTGGGATGCTCAAACAAGTAGCCTAGTGTTTTATCACTGGAATTTAGGGTTTTGTGGCTGGCCTGAGAATTTTCCTTTGGTCCTGTGATTTCAGATGTAAAAATGGCCAGGCCATGGTAGGTCTCAGGGGACCAAATTGCCTCTCTATTTCCTAAGAGGCCTCATAGATTGGCAATGAATTACCATTGGCCTGTGGTCTGGTGTTGAGTTATGCAGGATCGCATAACTAATGTTATTGACAAATTGAGTCTTCTCCCAGGGAAGCATTAGGGAATCTCAGGAGGCCTGTATCAGCATTCAGTGACGAACTGTACAGAGATCAGTGAACGTAGTCTGACCGGGTGATGACTCCTCTGCAAGCAGTCTGCCTGAGGAACTATATTGTCATCAGAAGGTTCTTGGTGGGCATGGAATCTGAACAAGGGAAATGGCATTAAAGGAAGACTTAGTGTTGTCAGGCTGAAGTCGCCCATTGGCATCTAGTAACAGGGATGGCCTCACCAATGGGATAGAAGATGTGCACGCTGTTGCTTAGGACTCTTGCTCCTTCGGACGTGGGCATTGCCAGTGATAGAATGTAAGCTCTGTGAGAGCAGGGACTTCTGCCTGTTTTGTTCATGGGCTGTTTCCCCAGCACTTAGAAAAGCATCTGACACATAGCAAACACTTTTAGTCCCTCCTTTTTTGTGCTTCCCTAGTGAATTAAAGCCCCGTTTTTATTGACACATTTCTTCTTGTATTTTAACTGATGATAATCCAGTTTTACTAGCGTGAGGGCTCAATCTCTCTTCCAGGTGCCTTTGCACCTCTACTTGCTAGTTTCTGAAAATAGCTTATATTACTTGAGTGTATTGGAGGGTATTCCATGACACCTACAGTGTTTACCACAATGTGATTGCCTTTTGGGTTATCTTTTCTAATTTCTTTCCATAGTCATAAACATTTCTCACCTACAAAATGTATAAAAATAAGAAACTTTCTGTATGAGGTGTGCTGTGGTTGATTTAAAGACATAGTAGGACTTATACATTCAAATGAATGTTGTCCTCTTCAAAACATTCACCTTGGAAAGATACATACCTATCTTTTGGGATTATCGTCATAGCTTTCAAATACATTATTTTGAAGTCACTCTGTATTAAGATTGATGTTTGAAAGAAGCTTGGAATTATTTGGAACCAGTTCTACTGTGCTAAGTATTGTAGCAAGGATCCCGTTATTCTTCTTAAAACCCTTCCATGGCTCCCCCTTGCTCTTTGGATAAAGTTCAAACTGTTGCAAGGCCCTTCCTGCTTAGTCCTCTTTAGCTTCCTCAAGCCTCTTTCTGCCGGACTTTGGTCAGTTCTTTGCTTTCTTACCTTTGCATTTGTTTTTTCCTTTACATCTGATACGAAATATCCACCCCCACTCCATCCCACCCCCTAGACATTAACTCTTACTCATTCTTTCAGGTTTCAGAAACCCATGAAAGAGGGTTAGTCTACTGCTGTATTTTCCATAACGACTTAAAGCATTTACTGCACTTAATTATAAACAGAAGTTTGGCTGTCCATGTCTCCAAGACTTTTGCTCACTGCTCTATTCCCAGTGCTGAGTGTAGTAAGTACCTAACCATAGTGGCTTTCAGTTGATGTTTGTTGAGGGAATAATAATGAAACTTTACCTTCAAGTTAGTGTGTTAATCATATCCCATAGTATTGTAAGCTTTTAAGATAATAAACATTGGCGTTCCAATTTCTGCTCTTCCACTTAATTCTGTAGGCATGAAAGCCAGTTTTCACATTCATAAATTGGCCCTCAGGTGGTTATTAGAAAAGGTAAAAATGAGCAGTGGCAGCATTTTTGAGTAATTTGGTAATTAATTTCTCAAGGTGATTGTTTTGAAAGACAGAGTTCGTTTGGATGTGTGTTTTTGTGGAATTGTTTAAATGCAAATAGGATATATTGTTGATTCTTACCCCAACTACATATAATTTGTCATAAACTTTATGTTAAAATCACATACTTATATGTTTTGTTTATTAAAAAAACACATTAGGACTAAAAGAAATACTTGTAATGGGTAAAGTTTTAAAGTTCATAAAGTAGATGCGTTAATAAGTAGAGTGGCCCAGCAGATGGGAAGAATACTGGGATAGGGCAGAGTATGAAGGTGATAATCCTCACCAGGCCAGCAATCTTCTAAAATCCATTTGATTCCATCAGTAGGTTTAGAGAAAAAAATAGAAAATAAACAGATTGCTCAGAGAATTTCACAGAAACAATACTGGTACTTCATAAATAAGACTTTGTGTTGTTCATTAAAATGGGACAACTGATCAATGCAACTTTCTTTATTCGGTTTATTCTGTTGAGCTGTGCTCTTGTATATCAAGCATTTTAAAAGCTTTGAGTTCCTGAGTTTGGAGATAATATTTTAAACATTACTATATGTTGACACCTGAGCTGTGGAAGCAGATCTCAATAAAGAGATATTTAAAATATTTTAAATCACTCTTATATATTTACCTTGGAGAAATTCTGAAATAACCAAACTAAACACAAACATCTTCATGGATGAAGTTACCCAAAATTGTTTGTGATTTCTGCCCTGCTGATTTGGTAAGGTGCTATATTTAAGAAATTCATTGAGAGAAAGTAGCAGATTATTAAAATTTTACTTTTCATTGGAGTCATTCTAATTTTTATAAACTAAATATGGTTATAAGTATCCAAATTATTAATATTTCTGATAACCACTTCTTGGATAGCATATAAAGCCAAACTATATTATATTAGCATAAACAGGGCCCAAGGCTCAGTTAATTATTTTGGCTAAACTTTATTTAGCATCCATACACACTAACCCATGGGGAGGAGAAAGCCATGCTTGGAGATTGGAAACATAGTTGGTGGAGGAATTCTCTTGCCCACTCATTTTTTTAAAGGTTATTTTCAAGTGTAGGTTTATAGTTCATGAACATAGAAGCTTAGCTTAGATAAGAAATATAGAACTTTGCATTAGGTGTAGTTTGTTATCAGCTTGGTACCTTCTTAGTTTCAGACACACCACCCCCGCCACCACCTGCGGAAGAGCCAGTCTTTGACGAATCCCCCCCTCCACCCCCTCCTCCAGAAGATTACGAAGAGGAGGAGGCCGCCGTGGTGGAGTACAGTGACCCGTACGCTGAGGAGGACCCGCCCTGGGCTCCAAGGTCTTACTTGGAAAAGGGTAAGTCTCCGAGGGCTGTCTGGAGGGATGGGAAGAAATCTGCACATAGGAATGACATTCACTGGTACTGAAGAGAATTTTTTGTTTTACTGATAAGAAAAGTTTCGCTTATATTACATGTATATTCTTACTTAGTTTACAGGTTTTATGGTTTTGAACGCATGCAAGTAAAATTCTGTGACTGTTTGATTTTTTATTGATAGTTAACGTATTTTTCCTGTTGAGCATGCTCTTTACGAACGGTTTCTGTGAGATAAAAGTAAAAAAAAAAAAAAGAGGGTTTTCTGGAATGCCTCAGGAAGAGGAGGATTTCTTCAAATTATTAGTTGTTTCTCCCCCGTGGTTTCTAAAGCTTTCTTTTGTGGCGTCTTTTATCAGATATTTCAGTTTAAGTGTCTCCATGTGAAACTTCCTTCCAAAGAAGAATGGTTTCTTCGTTCTTTACAAAGTAGTATTGGGCATTTCTCTCACTGAAAGTTTCTCTGAATATACTAGCTAGCCATGCCATGGTGTTTTTGGGACACGGACTTCCAAATCTTATCAGTACTAATCAGCTCAGGAAAAAGGGTGCTGTCGGGCAGGAAGTTTTAAGGAAATTAAAGCTACTCACTGATTTCAAAACTGACCCCACATTTAGAATCACCTGGGGAACTTATATTAAGAAATGGTAGACTTGCACTTCTGGTCAAAATAGAGCAACAGTAATTCGATTTACCCTCTCCCCTAAAACAGGAACCCAGAAAAAATTAAGGTAACGGTTGTGAATCAGTAGACACTAGGCAGTGTGGACTCTGACCGCAGAGAGAAGGAGCTCAAGGTGAGCCTGAGGCCCTGGCTTGCTACCTGGAGGCAGTTTCCAGGCCATAGTGCAAGGAGGATGTAACCAAACCGAGCGTGGGCGTTGACTTGTGTAGAGAAGGTAGAGATGAGAATTTTTGGAGGCCACAGAGGACAGTGCTCAGGAGATCTCCGGAAGGTCCCGTTGAGTCTAACTGAGCACTGATTTGTACATGTGTGTGAAGAAACGACCTGATATTGAAAAAACAAAACCAGAAAGAACTAGGCAGAAAAATTACTGCCCATGACACAGGCCTGGAAATAGTTCATGTTCCCAAACCCGTCAGAATAGAAAGACGTGTAATACACAGGCATAGAGAAGAGGCCTCAAAAGTGTGTCCCCTTAGTAATCGGGGCAGATTAGCCCTAGACGAGAGTGGCTGTGGACCGCCCTCACAGAGCTTACCGCAGACCTTTGAAAGATCCAACTGATTTCAAGTAACTTCACTGAGCTCCAGGACAAAATTCAACACTGTTCAACAAAAGCCAGTACACTAAAAAGTCAGAATTATAGTGTCCAACACCTAGTCAATTGCAAGCAATGTAAAAAAGCAGGAAGATATGTAAGTTATAACTAAAAGAAAAGACAGTTAATGGAAATAGACCAGAAATGACCAAGATAATAGAATTACCTGATAAGGGTGTAATATAGCTATTATAAATGCCACATATGTTCAAGAAGGTAAAGGAAAACATGAACATAAGAGAAAACGAATGCATTTTTAAAAAAGAGAAAAACTCACTTTTTTGGAGATAAAAAATACGGTATCCAAAGTGACACTTCAGAAGAAAAGATCAGCAACCTTGACGGTATGACAATACAAACTATTCAAAATGAGGCATGGGGAAAAAACAAATACTAAACACAGTAATAGATATGTGAGATAATATCAAAGAGTCTTCTTTTGCAGAAGATCTCATGTAGGAAATCCTAAGCAATCTACAAAAAGCTGGTAGAACTTAAGAGTATAGGTTACAAGGTCAATGTATAAAATTAATTGCATTTTTATACATCAGCAACAAACAGTTGGAGATTGAAATTTATAAAACTTTTGTAATAACATATTAAATACTTAGGGATAAATTGAATGAAATATATGAAAGACTTGCATGATGAAAACTGAAACATTAAGAGAAATTAATAAAAGTCTTAAAAAATTTGAGAACTGTATGATGCTCTTTGATCATTATTGTTGAGACTGGTTTTCCCCAAAATGGTATATATATGGAATGCAATACCAATAAAAATCCAGAAGTCAGTCTTATAGAAATTGACAAGACGATTCTAAAAGTTATATGGAAATGCAAATGACCTAATATAGTCAAAACAATCTGAAAAGAAGTCTAATGTCGGAGGAATTACACTACCTGACGTCAGAGTTCTAGTGGAAAGCTGCAGTGTTCAAGACGTGCTGGTGTAAGAATAGGAATATAAATCAGTGGACTAGAACACATAGAACCCAAATAATTCGGTGAGGAAAGGATAGTGTTTTCAACAAATAATGTTGAACAATTGGATATCCATATGCAAAACATGAACTTCCACCCTTACCTCACAATACACATAAATTAATTTGAAATGTATTTTGGATCTGAATGTAAAACCTAAACTATAAAAATTCTGGGGGAAAATGTAGGAGAAAAAACTTTATGTTCTGGGGTCAGGAAAAAATCTTGTGGAGACCACATAAAAATACATGAAACTTAAACAGAAAAAAATTGATAAATTGAATTTCATTAATTAAACTTTTCTTCAAAGACACTATGAAGAAATGACAAGGCAAACCATATTAGCCTGGGAAAAATATTTGCAAAATAATTCACTAAGGTGACAACTTGTAGGGAAAAACATTTGAACACATTTTATCAAACAGACACATGAATTGCAAATAAGCACATGAAAAGATGCTCAGTATTAAAATACGTTTTTTATTGATTTCAGAGAGAACAAAAGAGAGGGAGAGAGAGATAGAAACATCACTGATGAGAGAGAATCATTGATTGGCTGCCTCCTGCACACCCCCTACTGGGGATTGAGCCTGAAACCTGGGCATCTGCCCTGGCCTGGAATTGAACCCCGACCTCATGGTTCATAGGTCGACTCTCAACCACTGAGCCACACTGGCCAGGCAAGATGCTCAGTGTTAGTTATGAGGGAAATGCAAGTTAAAGCCACTGTGAACCAAACTCAGTACCACTACACACCCTCTAGAATGGCTACAGTTAACAACACTGACAACACCAAGTGGGAGAGAGAGCGGTGCCGCAGGAGCTCTTATACATGGTTGGTAAGAATGCAACATGTCTCAGTCACTTTGGAAAACAGTTGGCAGTTTCTTAGGAGGCCAGACATACACCTACCAGCTGATCTGGCCTCCTTCCTGTGGTGGTTACTTACGAGGAATGACGATTGTGTTCACACAAAGACTTGAATGTTCATAGTTGCCAAAACCTGGAAACAACCCAAATGTTTTTAAACTGGTGAATAAATTAATTGTGGGATATATCCATGTATTCAATGAAATACTGTTCAGTGAAAAGGAACAAACTCCTGTTATAAGCAACAATGTGGACGGATTTCAAGTGTCACTCTAATGAAAAAGGCCAAAAAAGACTCTTACTTTATGACTCCATCTACATGAAATCTAGATCAGTGGCTTTCAGGGACCGGTGCTGGTGGATGAAGGAATTCACACCGGGGCATAAGGAAATTGGGGGGTGATGGGCATGTTGTATCTGATGATTGTGGTCGTCGTTATACATTTATCATATATACAGGTGCATACATTTGTGAAAACTCATTGAATTCTGCAATTAAATGCATGTGTTTTGTATCTAAATTAATACCTCATTAAAGCTGTTTTTTAAGGCGGGAGAAAAGAGCCCAAGGTACTACACTAGGCTGTGGCCTTAGGCATTGACATGTTTTACAGATTCCTTAGCTGGTTTTAACACTGTCCTAGACAAAGTGATACCATTCCAGCCGCGGAAAACTACCTCAGTTATTCCTCAAGAGAAGAGCGCGATGAAGTTTTGCTTTCTAAAAATTGACTCTTTAGTGAACATGTTGTAAAAATCTGGAGAGATTTGTGAGAAGAAAGTAAGTTTGTTTTGAGTCTAAGGAACCCTGTAAAGTTGTAAAGAACATGCCTGAATTGTTCCCTAAACTGTTTTTAAAGGTTTGGCTTATTTCCGTTAAGTTCAAATCTTTCAAAACATGAAAACCAAATAAGCTCTTCCTTACTCTTTCTGGCAAAACAAAAACATAACCGACTGTGTTCAGCTTATGATGGCTCTTTTGCTTGTTGTGTGTGAATGTTAAGGTGTTGCCTACTGACTCGTTTTGCTATCTTAGACCTTAGGACCCGGTCTTAACCCGCCTGCTCATGTGAGTCACAGAGCGAGTGTTTAATACATCTGCCCCTGCAGGCCTATTAAATCAGAATCGGTGGGACTGCGTCAGAATTTTTAGAAATTCCTCAGGTAATTCCAGGGTTGAGAGCCACAGCCATAGGAGGCTTATTGTAACCCTTGATTACTGCCCGTCATGTGCCTGGCATAATGTAAGACTTAACTACATATGTAAGATAGTTTCCCCATCTTGCAGACTAGAAAATGATGTTAAAAGGTAATTTGTTATAGAATATAACAGAAAATGTTAGTGTTAGAGAAAAGACAGTATATCTTAATAGTTACTAATGATAATAAAAGAAGCTAACATTTATATGGGCTGTTTAACAGATACAAGCTCCGGGCTGGGTGTTGTATGTGCATTGCCTCATTTAATAGAACAGTGCTTTGAGGTGTTAGCACTATTCTAGTTTCCATTATACAGGTGAGTAAAAAGAAGTTTAGGGACGTTAATGTGTTCTGCGAACTAATAACTGGTAGAGCTGGCATTTGAACTCGGTGGTATAACTCCAGAGATCACATTCTTAGCCTTTCCTAAGCGGGGGCTTTGGCAGACCTGGGATTGATTGAGTCTTGGCTCTACAGTTTACTAGCATTAAATTCTTCTGTCACTTCCAAGCCATCTGTTCTTGTATTCCTCCAGCTCAATGATATAACTTCTTGGTAGAAGTATCAACAATGTATGGTAATTTATCAGATAACATTTCTGTCCTCATAAGACTATGACCGTTTGCCTTGTTCATCTTCCTATCTCTAAAAATCAGCATGAATGCTCCATTAACAATTGTCAGAAAATGAAGAGTTCCATTCATTCTGCTGGGGATCCCAGGAAGCTTGTCAGAGGACCTGGCATTTGTGATGTGCCCTGAATATGAAGATTTTCTCAGGCAGAGAGGGGAGCGAGCAAGGGGCCTCCAGGCCGAGGGGTCCTGAGTGAAGGCATGGCTGTTCAGCATGGTGAGCAGTGCCATGTGCAAGAGGACGTGGGTGGGTGTAGGGAGAGAGGGCCTGGGGTGTGCGTGTAAGAAGTTGTAATTGGGATGGAAGTCCTCGAGTACCATGCTGAGATGTTTGAATCTTTTTCCTTTTTTTAAAAATCTGATAGAAAATTGTGGAAGATTTTTACGCAGGTTAATGATAAGTTCCCATGTATTATATCCTTACTTAAAAACAATTACCTGATGACAGTGTAGAGTACATTAGAAAGGAAAGCAGGGCCCTGGCCGGTGTGGCTCAGTTGGTTGGAGCTTCGTCCTGTACACCAGAAGGTTGTGGGTTTGATGCCCAGTTGGGACATGTGCGAGAGGCAACTGGTCGATGTTTCTCGCTCACATCGATGTTTCTTTCTCTTTCTTACTCCCTTCCTCTCTCTAAGATCAATTAAAATTTTTTAAATAAAAGAAAAGAAGAAAGTAGGAGTTGGAAGACCAAGTTGGATACCTTTCTAAGGAAGAGCTGAGGACCTTAGCTACAGCAGTGTGCTGAAAACCTTGTTCCCATTCATAAGTTGATACAAATGGAAGCATTTTCTCATGTGGCACTGTCACTCAATTCTTTTACCTCCTTCTGAGTTACCTGCCAAAAGTAAAATAATGTTCCATCTTTAAACATGTTTTACATGTCAGCTGATAACTCCATTAGTCTTAATGTTTGTCTAAAGCAGCAGTTCTCAACCTGTGGGTCGCGACCCCTTTGGGGGTCGAACGACCCTTTCACAGGGGTCGCCTAAGACCATCAGAAAACACATATATAATTACATATTGTTTTTGTAATTAATCACTATGCTTTAATTATGTTCAATTTGTAACAATGAAGTTGGGGGTGACCACAACATGAGGAACTGTATTAACGGGTCGAGGCATTAGGAAGGTTGAGAACCACTGGTCTAAAGGAATGGAGCCACCTAACTTTCACTTGGAAAAAGTTGGGTTACTCAGTGGAGTAATTCTTTTTCAATATCACACGAAGATTTTGAGTTGTTTCTTTGACACCCAGAAGTCTTTTATACTTTAAAACAGTACACTGTACTAACAAGTAGGAGAATGATAGAGAGGAAATGAGAACTTTTGTGACTGATGCCTGGCTGAGGTATCATCTCAGGTCAGTTTTGGAAGCAATATTTATAAAACTTGGGACTCTAGAAGGAGTTTCCCCTAATCATCTGACACTCATACTGCGTGGAAAGTCTTCAGGTCCCCCTGGGTTAGGTATATTCCATAAGAAGACAGCTGCGGACAGACGGGCAGTGAGGGTGACGCTGGAGATGATGGAGGTGTTGGTTTTGAGCTTTAGGAGATGGAATTAGCAGGACTTAGGGACAGTCTCATTTGAATTATTTTTCATTGGGTTTGCATTTTGGTAAGCATCGAGTGTTAACTAAGAGTGATAGAGATTAGGTTGACTAGAAATAGTAAAGACTTTACATATCTTGTTTTCTTTTACTTTTATAGTTAAACTTTTTTGTCATTTAATATATATTTGTGTTTAGGGGTTTGGTTATGTTCTGAGATATACACACTAATTTCCTCCTAGGCCTCTCTGAAGTATTTTCTGACATTTAACAGGTCACTATAATGGTAAAACGCAGAGCTTAACAAAGCCATTTAGTTCTAAAGTAGGCCAGACACACAAATGAACTGGGCAAGCTGCACTATATCATAAACTCCTATTGTAGTTTGTTTCTTATTTGAGGTTTAAAGTTACATGAGAAACAAAGTCAGTATATGCTTCTCAGAATGATGGGTAGATGGAGATTGTTGTTGAGTGAAATTCTGAGTGATATAAAAAGATACAGAGGATCTCTTTACAGAATAGAGAAATCTGCCAGCCCAGCATAGCTCAGTGGTTGAGCATCAACCTGTGAACCAGGCATGGTTCAATTCCCAGGCAAAGCACGTGCCTGGATTACAGGCTCCATCCCCACTGGGGGGTGTGCAGGAGGCAGCCAGAGAATGATTCACTCTTCATCATTGATGTTTCTATCTCTCTGTTTCTCCCTTCCTCTCTGAAATAACAAACAATATATTTTTTTAAAAAGGTAAATCTTCAAGTGGATTTGAGCAATAGGCTCTCCCAGTTTAAATAAACTGTTGAGGTAGATGCAACAGGAGCCTGAGGCTGTCCCAGATAACATCTAAAGGCCCCAGTTACCAAATTATTTAAGCAAGGAAAGTTTCAGGAGAGCTTACAGGTACCTTGGTTTCCATGACACTTTTAGTGTGTTATGGGGATGTGTTAAATTGGTGGCATAATACCCCATGTGTTTGGAAAGAGTACATATATAATGGACCCCCAGCATTTGCACATAGAATTTGTGGGAACTCAACCACTATTGTACTCAGTGACTAGGCATGGGCTCCCATATCCCTTTAGTTCATCTCATCTTCTCACTTGCCTCTCATGGTGTGTGTCACTGCACTAGATAATTCTAATGTTGAAAGACATGTTTTGACATAACACAAGCTCAACTGAATAGTCATCTTTCCTGATTCTGGGATTGTCGCTCCTCAGTGAGGTATTTCTCCATAGGCTGCTGAAAGGTAACTTCACTGATTTTTTTTTTGCCATTTCAACTGCTTGGAACCTATCCTCCCCAAGAAGATGGGATCCCGTTACACAGGACTGGGTATCAGGAAAAGAAGGGATTTTGGTCTGTGTTTAGAAAGTCACTGAAGTGCTGTAAAAGTTGGGAAAGGATGGATATTCATTTGTTTGGTTCTATCTTTGTAGGAATATTACTTTTCACATCCTGTTTTTCCCCCTCTAGTTGTGGCAATTTATGATTATACAAAAGACAAGGAAGACGAGCTGTCTTTTCAGGAAGGAGCCATCATTTACGTCATCAAGAAGAACGACGATGGCTGGTACGAGGGCGTTATGAACGGAGTGACGGGGCTCTTCCCGGGGAATTATGTCGAGTCCATCATGCATTATTCCGAGTGAAGCTCCGCCACCATTTCCCTCCAGGAATAGGCAGGACTTCCCAGACTATCCCGAGGCCCTGGCCTTCCCCTCAGTGAAGTGAATGAAGGATACAAATGATAAAAACTACGTATGTGTTGTTGTTTTCGGTTTATCCCCCAGTATTAAAGCAAAAAGCAAACCTAATTGTGAACAAATGGATCTTTCTGTCATCATTTGTACTATGCTGAGCTGTCTGGATTGAAATAAAGTGACCATTTCTGAATATGTCAAGGAATAACAGCATAACTGTAAAACAAATCAGGTTAAGACTGATTCAGAGCAAAATCTGGGATCTTTCTCAGGAATACTGTGCACCATGGGGTATCTTCTGCAGAACCTGTGGCACTGGCTGTTCTTCAGTGCCTGTGCCAGAGGGTTAGCCTGTGGCCTGCTGCGTACTCCGCTTTCTTCCACCTGTATGAGGAGGGAACCGATATTTGAATACCATACTGAACCATGTTTAGTTGTTTCCGAGGGCTCATTTCCTGTCACAGGTGAATTCTGCACTCTCTCAGTACTTGCGCGTGCCAGAGTGAATGCTGAACTGACTTGCATCCCTTCATGTTTCTGTTTGTAGATGATGAAATGAGTCTCCCAACATTCTGAGGGTGGTTGGCAATGGCCAGTGTGACTTGAATGTGCTGCTGCTGCATGAGACTGCGTTGCAGAAAGGGCCAGCACACCAGTGTGTGACGCTGGCCGTGAAGGTGCTTAAGGTCCTGAAAAGATTGGACTGTAGAAACTGCTGCCCAAGAGGCATCCTAAGGCTTTGCCTTAGGCACTGGTTTGAGGAGCAGGATTTTGGAAGTTAGACCAACTGTTTACTTTCACTATTGAGAAAAACATTCTTTTTGGGGAAAATAGCAGTTATTTTCAAATTTCTTGATAGTCACTGGGAATAAAAGGCTTGCTACTGTAATCTTGGTGATACTAATGGCCAGTGTTAGCTGCTGCTGAGTTCTTTACTCACTTGACTTTAGAAAAGGGAAATACTCGCTTGGTTTTGTGGTTGGTCTTGGAAGTAGCTTCCTTTGGTAAGAATTTGAACTTGTATCTCAGACTAAGAATAGTGGGGTAAGGCCAAATATTTATCCAATTACATAGATTAAAAACTGATAGGACTTTGCAATACAGCACTTTTTTTTATCTGCCCAATTATAGCTTCAAGTTCAGTGGAGTCGGTAAGTCAGATGGCTTCAATCATTTCTGTAATCAGTATAAGAAATGTTTTAAAAATCCAGGAGGGCTTTGCTGCTCAGCAGGTGAAACTCGGGGATAAAGCAGCTCATGGTCAGGCCCACGCTGTGATGGGCTCTTCCCAGTCCCAGTGACTTGGCCAGAGAGAGCTTTGCCCGGCGACTTCCCTGTGCGGGGTTCAAAGGGGAGAGGTAATAGCTGCATATACAGTTGACCCTTGAACAACACCAACACGGGTGATAACTGCACAGGTCCACTTACACGTGGATTTTTTCAAGAAATATACAGTCGGCCCTCCGTATCCCTGGATTTTGTATCTGCATATTCAACCAGTTATGAATGAAAGCAGTATTTTCAGTCTGCAGTTGGGAACCACAGATGGGGAGAACCAGCTGTGTGCATGGTTTTGTCATTTTGTATAAGGGGACTGCGGCATCCAAGGATTTTGGGGTGTGTGTGTGTGTGTCCTGGAACCAGTCCCCCCTCAATAAAGAGGGCTGACTGTAGTAGTTAAGTTGTGGGGAGTCAAGTTATAGGTGGATTTTCAATTGCCTGGGTCTCAGGGTCCCTAACTCCTGTGCTGTTCAAGGGTCAACTGTGCTTCACATGTAAGCCTTGAACATGAACTAGTGCAGCTAGAGGACTTGACTGAAAATGGACATGGTGGTAGTGTGCGAGGGAACTCAGATGGTGCAGGCAGAATATTCCAGTCGTGAGTCTATCAGAGCACAAAACTTCACCATTTTACTGAGACCCAGATACACAGGTCCCTTGTCAAGACTTTTTGTTGTAAAGTTGAAGGCCCCGCCCCCACACACACACATACATTGCAAGTCAGCTATTTTGCCTTTAGCTCCCTTTAACACTTTGAATTTGGCTTTGCCTCCATGTTTTTGTGAGGTCATCCCAACATCCGTTATCCTGTTTTCCTTTGAAGTAATGGCCTTGAGTGTCCTCCGAGCTGTCGGCTTCGTTATGAACCCAACCTATACTACACTTGGACAGATTACGCTCTTCTTGGTGTTGGTGTATAACTAGGAAAATCTTTAAAATTAGATGTTCCAATTATTTATTTAAATACCTTTTTGCTGAGAAAGCTTAGTGGATTTAATAAGAAGGAATTTTGAAATCCAGCAAATAGTTCCATACCTCACACCGATGGCAGACAACTGTGCAACCAGAGTTGGTGGTGGCTGCTTGCCTGTTGGACTGAGGCGAGCAGATGCTGGTGGTGACGGCCGCAGGCAGCAGGGGATCCACGGGTCAGCTGACTTTTTCCTTTATTATTTAATACTAATGTGTGATTTTAAAAAACATGTTTGATTTTCTGCATACTTTAAATTTTTGTACAGTTTGATTTCCATATATTGTCTTGGAAGGATACTATGTAACGATGGGCCAGGCCTACAGTAATGGGAGACCTTTAATGTATGTGATATTTTATAGGTTGCATGCTATTAATAGTCTGTGACGTTAGTATTTCTTGTTTTATTGTCAGTTTCCCCATTTATCTTTTTATAAATGAGATGAGATAGTGGGCAGTAGGAATTCCAAATGAATGTAGAAATCTCACATGCTACATGATATTGTGGCAAAGGGGATCCAAGTCTAAATCTGCTGACAAGCAAGCAACATTATCAGGATAGAATCTAATGGGAGAGGGAATTTTTTTTTCCTTTTTGACTTACTGTCCATTTCCTGTTTTCTTAAAAAAAAAAAAAAAGGAACAACTTTTAAGTCACTCCTTTTAATCAACTTATTTTTTGGTACAGTTGTTTGAAAGGCCATGGTGGTATGAATCAAAATACTTTTGTCATTGACCTAAAGGCAGTAAATCAGAAACAAAAAGTATCAACGTGTCAAAATCTAGACCTAAGAGATTCAGCCTGCTGTGTTTAAAATAAATAGGAATCTTTTCTTCAGTATTTTCCATCTTTTGGCTATTTGCTGTCTATCTCCCTCAGGACCACTGTAGAGTTTGCAAGGGCCTGCTGCTGTGCTGTGTATTCCTGGAGGTCACCAGGTGGGGCGTTTTTCCCTCCCTGTCCTTTCCCCTTCTGCTTGTTTATTACCCAACTAGAATGTCTTATTCGCCTTCCCAGGGATTTCTGTAATGTAGCTGTGCTCCTTGGCAGTCTTAGGTTGATTGAAGATGATTTGAGAGGCTTCAAAATGATGGTAGTTGGCTTTTATCCTTTCGTGTCCGTTTTAGCAGGTTACCATTCTGCATTAGGAACTATTTTCAAATTATTTTATTTCTGCTCAGTGGAGAGCAGGGCCCCCTTTCCCTTTGAAAAGGATTCGATGGAGGAATTGGCAGGTGACTGCCCGATCTCTGAATGGGGACCTGCCTGAATCACTTCTGAACTACTCGGACCAGAAACGCTTGATTGGTGATTTCCCTCACATGATTTATTTAGGATCATAGCTTTAGAGCTAGAAGAGATTGTAGTTCAGTCTCATTTTACCGAAGAGGTTAGATGGTTCATTTCGGATAAGAGCTAAATTAATAATGGTAGTTTTTGACTCTGCCGCTCGTTACTATTTCTAGTGTCTTAAATGAATATGCTGTATGTTTCTTCAAAAATTAAGATTCTCCTGGATGTCTTCAGGAAGATACTTGAAAAGCTATTATTTCAGTTAATACCACCACAGTATTCATTAAAGTAAACTTGTTTAAAGGCGTGTACTAACTGCAACCTTAATAACTACTCAGTACAAATGGCCTTTTCCATTAGGTGGATGTAGCAGAAACGTTCTTTCAGCACTGGTAGGAGCACAGCAAGCAGCCTTATAAAACAGGTTTTCGTTAAACAGACATTGCGGTCATTACCTTAGATTTACTTCATGCTGATTTTTGTTCCTATTTCTTATTGAGAATCGATCACATAATTCTTTAAAGGACAAATAATCCTTGCTAAATATCTTGAGATTTTTTTTTTTCTTTAGTAAACAAAAAAGCATCCCAAAACCAAAAAACTTATTTTCACATTAAAATGGAAATGTCTTTTGCAACTTCAGAATGCTATGAAAAAGCAGTTTTTATAATATTTTGTGTCCCTGAATCTTTTATCTTAACTAAATGGTTTACAAAGAGAAGGTAAACAATCTGTGATCTGGCCAGTTGTACTTTTAGCTCCCAGAGAGAAGGTTGGTGTTGTGAGTAAAAACCACGCAGGAAAACTTGAGGGAGCATCGTTGCCGGTAATGTTCGTGTGTGTGCCATTAAACCACCTCCATGCGTGGGGGAGCATTCACTTCTTAATTTTGAAATTGTATTTGGAATTGTTGCTGTGTACTAAGAACTGACCTAAATAAAATTCCACAAAGTATCTAAGTGTTTTGTGAATTATTTATGCAAGTAACCTCCTTTCTTTCTAAGGTGGTATATAACAAGTGTGGAGAGAATCCTTCCTAACTGACCTAAATAAAATTCCACAAAGTATCTAAGTGTTTTGTGAATTATTTATGCAAGTAACCTCCTTTCTTTGGAGAGAATCCTTCCCGTTGCTCCAAACCAGCAGCTCCTTTTTAGTAAGTAAGTCTTCAAACTTCAAATATTTAAAATGTTGAGCCTTAAAAGAATTTTCATCTCTGTGAAATTTCTTCAAGACAGCTGTTTTCTATCACTATTTTTGCTGTAGGTGAACCTAAAGTTTTATGATCACTTTTCCCCTAGTTTCGGTAAATGATAAAGTGATTTGTAAATACACCTTTATACATACCTTGACATAGCAGTCCAACATAATTGTGATACCCAAGTTTTGAACAAAAAGGATCCCTTTTGTACTAGTTTGTACTTCTGTTTAAAAGAAAAAAACATCTATTTAACAACCAAAGCGCCCTAGTTTGTGTACTTAAAGATTAACCATTTGAACACTTCAAATTGTATTTTACTTTCACACTTAATTTGTTCTTACTGCACAACCTATTTAGGGTACCCCAACATAAATAGCAAAACCAGGTTCTTAATGGTGCCGATCCACAAACAGTCAAGTGAAGTCCCCATGTTTAAACGAAATCTATGTATTATTTTTATTAAGGGTTGGGTAAGCTGACATAGTGAAAACATGTAACTGGAAAACAAATTTACACTGACTGACTACTGTCCTAAGCCATTACAATACTTCACTGGCAAGAGTAACTTGGAAAATAACTTAATCTAGCAGTAGAACAAAAACATCGTCAGTAGTACTGTATATATCTCTCTCATATATATATCTATATATATCTATAGGTTTGCACAATCAGGGAGCAAGGCACATAATGAAATGAGAGCGTACATTTAAACAAGAAAATAATAGCAACAAAGCTGAAAGAAAAATTGTAACTTCATCTTCACCGAGCTGTGCATAATCATTTGAATAATGTCCTCTATCGGCTACTTTATAATGCAGTTCCTTTTGTCGTCTTTTCATGCTTTAAAAAAGTACATTCCTATGTTGTATCTATTTACTTATTTATAGCAAAGCTTCCCACAGCCTACATGTCAATGTGATCCTTGATTTAACTTTTTAAAGAAATGGGAAGAGAGGGAGCAATCCCAGTTAAATATTATGTGCAATTTTCCTTTAAAATAGTAAACAATGTTTTTACACCATTTAGCACAAGCTAATGATATTTTATTTTAAATGTACATTTCTATAAAAGGAGTTCACTAGTGACTGACAATAAAATTAAACATCATTTGAAACATTCCAGTTAATGCTTACCTTCTAGGAGAGATTATTTACAAGTAAAGGAAAAATATAGAGACAGCAATCATGGACAATGGCAGTTTTTGGTATTAGGTTACCATAAATTCAACAGTGGAAACAGTGGATAGTTCCAAAGATGCTGAGGTGTTCCCCTCTAAGTGCTGCAAGCATATTCTGCCTAAGAAAGCTTCAGCATTTATGAGCTGAGCTAGGTGTCAACAGCTGTCTGTGACCAACACACTCACTTCTGTCTTTGGTAGAAAGCAGCCAGTCCTCGTTAGGCAGATGGAGCCATCTCTTGTGAGATAGTAACTTTTTCTATTTTTGCATAAACTAGAAATACCTTCCTTTTCACTAGCACCTCAAAATTTACTTGTTAGGTTTTTTTTAATGCTATTCCTCCCAAAGAGTTCAAGGCACTGGGGATTATAGCAGATACTGTTTTCTCTTCAAAATGGTTCATTACTCGAACAAGCAAAGGGCAAACCAATTGGAGATTTTTCCCCCTTCTAGTGTTTATCAAGTATATTGTTTGCTTATTTTTGTTTAGCAAGTTTATTTTACAGATAAATATCAGATTTCTTTTACATATAGACCTTCCAAGGATACAACAATAACGGAGCACTTAGTTAAGGGATAGACCGGTAAGGTGTAGAAATGTACTTCTCTTGAATTTTTAAAGGAAAATAAACCTTGAAAGATAGTGGGATATTTCTGTTCTACTCGCCTCTCTGTGGATCAGATCTCAACCTTATGAGCAGTCCCATATCCCTGCAGGATCAGGGATATCCTGCTTTATACAAACGATGTAAAGTGTATAGAACACAACTCAAAGTGCCAAAAGGTGCTTGCAACCTAAAGTGATTTTTAGAGATAGAATCCTCTCATCAAGTGTATAAATCCAATTATTCCTATTTCACTTAAAGCAAGTCAGGGTCATTCAGGTTTACTTGGTCTAAATGTGAATAAAATCTGAGATTACATCAGTTTTCTAAACATATCTATAGATGACATGTTTTAAAAATTTGGTAACATAAAACTAAGAAAACAGTTTTTTACGCATTTAAAAATTTTAACGCGTTTATGTTTTTAAAATAAAATTAAGAGAAGAAGAAAGGCGACAAACAGTTCTGTTGGTGACCTGATAGTCAAATCAAACCAATCCACATCATTACCTGAGAATTTTTTCAGGCTAAATTTATGACATCACATTTTTGACACAAGCTTATTAACAACTATTTTCCCAGGATAGCAGCTTCTGAAACTCTAATGGGATGCACAGCTCCTATGAACTTTGATCTGCGTTGTCGCTCTAATTTTATTTAAACTTTCTTGATAACCTCAGCACTGTTTTCAGTGCAGTAAACTTACATAGAGAGGGACTTCTAAGATAGTTCACAGCCCTTAGCAGAATATGCCCTCAGTGGCCAGCAGCACCTTGATTTCAGAGGACTGGAAAACACCGTGTCCACATTACTTTGTTTGAAATTTTCTGATTAAAATCGTGTCCTATAACTTGTAAGAGTCAGCAATCTTTCTCATTTTAAAAAGTCTCAAATTTTAAAAATCCAATTTATCGTTAAGTGGGCATCTGTAAAAACCTTAAGAATAGTTAAAAAAGAAAAAAATATATAGTTACTTTTCCCAAGTGAGAATTATAGTAGCTAAGGGGAAAAAATGTATTTATTCGAGTAATAAAAGCCAAGCTGGTAACATTTCAATAGAGAATAGCTTAACATTTATATTAATGCCTATAAACCTGATCTACGTTGTAGCTGACTTCAGAGTTGGTACCAAAATGTTAATTATAGGGTGATTGACACCCTCAAGTTAACCAAGTCACTAGCTCTAATAGGCAACTGTCTGCACTGCCTTCCACAGGATGTTCGTCCACATTCAGTACAGCCCAGTCAGCTGTCCAGACTTACTTCTTTGACCTGGGGAATCTATGCTGTTGAGCAGGAGGCAGTGGAAGAAGGCACAGAACTAGTGTCATCTGGCAGTAGGGTTTACCATGCACACACCAGAGAAAATAAAAATAGTCTCAAAAACAAAACACCCACAAAACTTCATCCCAATAAAAATCCAAATTAAAAAACTCCATCAGGGAGCTAAAATACTGGAAGTATAATCTAAAGTGTTATTATTTTTTTATGATTCAGTTGTTTCACCATGACATAGATAATAGCCTTTTCCATCTTTGGAGAAATGTAAACAGCCTGTTGTCAGACATGCCAATGGATTGGGGTATAAATGACAGTTCCTCCCTGACCCAGCTCTCTTCTGGGTGTCCCTAGTGTTGTTCTGCTCTTTCAGGAGAATGATGCACCAAAAGCATCAGTCTAGGAGGGCTGTCGTCAGCACTGACACAGCAAGAAGTCCCAGGAAAGCCCGCACTGAAAAAGAACAGGCTGTACCTTAGGGTTCAAATCATTGATTGAGGGTATGTTACAAAAGTTGAAATTGTCCACCTTCATGTAAAAATGACACCACCACAGTAAAAACCCCTAGTGAATATGTCATTGGATTCCTATTCCTAATAGCTCTTTTACTTCACAAATAAGGGTGATTCTTAGAATATAAAACTGCAGGCAGAGACTGGGAAATTATTTCACTCATGATTCACACTGAAGCTTGGCAATCTGTACTCAAATGTTATCCAAATTGCTGTGCATGCCTAAATCAACAATGCAGGTGTGGTAAAGGTCACTTCATAAGCATAACGATATCAAGCACACAGACCTTGTGAACAATTGAAAAGACCCAAAAAGTATCTTTTAAAGAAGCAGGGCTTTAAAAAATGCACAATGGTATATGTTCTTAGTGCTCTATAAGCACATGAATATATTAAACAATATCCTGCAGACGTGGCAATGGAGAGGTGGGTGCCATTTACTCTAGGATGCAGCCCTTCATTGGAGTGGGTTATATGGGTATCTGGACACTGCATACTTAACTTTCACTTACTCTCTAATTCCTGTCTGCTCCACTGCATGGGCACATTTTTCCTTATGGGACAGTGTCGGAGGTCTCTGCCCTGGTCATCCTGAGCCACAACAGGCAGACCTTCATTACCAGATGTGCTCACTCATCGCTCCTGGGGGAGCTAGTCTTTGTTCTTTTGTTTAAGAGCAGCTCTGAGACTGCGTTTTATTCCTAATGGTCAATTTATCACATTTTTCTCAGATACAAAAGAAAATTCACAGGGGAAAAAAAAGCACATGAAGTGTAGCATGAAGCATACAGGACTACTGAGTCATCAGAGCAGTGATTTCTGTTATGCCAAACTGCACATGCATAATATGTAATGCCACTCACTGTGCTTGGACTACACTACTCCCTAGAACACCTGGGAACCGGACAACTCCCCACCTGGCTGCAGCAGGCGTCTTCCTTTCCCTCCCTCTGTGATGGTCTCACACTTACGGAGATTCTTTGTATTACACATTACAATCCCTGTACAACCTGATTAATGATACTGCACAGGGGCCATTTGTTCCTTTTGTAATCACCCCAACCTTCTAGAGAGCAATATAGACATTTCAGAAGGTGATTTTTTTGTTTTTCACGATGATGCACTATATTGGACATAGGATGGGAATACTTGATATAGCAACGGTTACAGATCCCTAAGATCAACATCTACCTAAAGCACACACTTAGAAGATAACTAGTGACCCAAAGACATCCTGGACTGAGCATTGCAGGGCACTGTGTCGGATAGTTCTTACGTGAGTCAAAGCAAGGATCGTGAAGCCACGCTTGATGAAGCTTCACAGAGCCCATGGAAGGATTCCAACAGCATAAAAACACCCAAGATTACAGTACTACATTATCCACGTGTTGTAGGCAAAGAGCTTACCTGTGGGAACACGTCCCAGGTTCAGCGGTCACTGCAGCTGCACTGCAACTGGAATGGTGGTTCCCGCACAGCTGTGCAGTGACTGAAATTTCCCCCCACCGCACTGGTGACCCGTTCTATGGAGCTGAAAGTTTCCTGATTAAAGTGCCCCTTTATGTACAGTAATGAAGTGTCAATCAAGCAGTTCTAACTTCAGCCAACCGGGGAAAAACAAAAGCCCTACTGAGACACCAAACGTCGTGGCTGTCTTCTCAGACTGAGAAACAGCACATTACACGTGTACTCCTCAGTACACAGTAACATGCACAGGTAGCCGCACATGGAGACTTACAATATACCTTCTAAAGTCATCAGAAGTTGTTTTGGTCCAATCCACATGACAGATAATAGAAATCGCAAGGGACAGGACACATCCCCTTCCACGCCTCTTCTGCCCAAAATACACAAAACCCACTTTCAGATTATGAAAGGGAATAAATAGAATCACTCCCAGCTATATATACGCATATATATATACACGCACTTATATACACACACTGTAGAGGTATGTACACACACACGCACACAGCTGGACACTACCTGAATAACATACCAGAAGGCTCCGACACCTGAATTCCTAGATGACCAGGCGAGCTGATTGTAGAACTGATTACAGAAACCATGACAGTGAAGACCTGCGGTAGCTACCAGTCTCTCGAGAGCTTGGTGTTCTGGTCTCTCTTAGGGGGGGCAGGTGGGGGTCCCCTCCGCAAGGTTGCATAGCCTGATATGTGGCTGCCGCCGTAGCCAGCTTTCCGCTGATCAGAAAGCAGTTCGGGGGGCGGCGGGGGCAATGCCATGTCGTCCATGGTGGCCGTGGGCTCTGCTCTGGACGCGCGGGAGGAGGAGAGCGAGCCGTGCCGCGTGATGGACTTGCGCTGCAGTGTCCGGTTGAGGTCGGCCAGGAACCCGGGCTGGACCCCGAGGCCGGCTGG